CCGGGCACACCCAGTCCCAGCCCCACCCACCCACCTACAGCACAGGAACCACAGCTCCCCGAGAGGCCCCGTTAGTCCCACTTTCTCCTACCTGGGAGGCGGCTCTGTAGCTCTCCCTGGTAGCAGCAGGTCCCTTGCTCTGAGATTCCGTGGAACACGAGGCATTGGAGGAGGTTTCATCAAGAGACACTGAAAGAGACAGGCGCTCGGTCAGACACAGAAGTAGATCCTAGAGCTGAAGCTGAACGTCGTCAGACACTTACCATCGTTATCACCACTCACAGTGCTGGCTTCGTTGGACTCGCAGCTTTCCGCGTCTGCTGTATCCTCCAGCTCTTCCCCTTCCGGCACCGAGAGAGTCCGAGACCACTGCAGGGCGTCCTTCTAAAGGGGCAAACAGAAGCCGATGGCCACAGGCCTCCCCGCCAGCCACTACGCCTCAAACCAACGGGAACTGACGGTTTGGCAGATACAGTTTTTAAAATTTTTTTTTATCTTCCCTATTTTAATCCTTGATGCAGAAAGTTATTTCAAAGTGTGTTTGGGCTCGCAGTGGAAGAGACGTCACGTACACTATTAGCACACCTCACAGACGCCTCCTAGACAACTCGAACACATCCAAAGCAGGTAAGGTTAACAATTTCTCACATTTTTCTGCAAGCAAGCAATTTCTAATAAAGAAAAATATCTCATTCTTCCTGCGAAAGAACAGGCAGCATGAGACTAAGACAGTAAGCTTAGGAGATGATTTACCACTTGTATAATCAAAGCCATTTCAATTTCATCTGTTTTCAGCAAAATATGTCAATTCAATAAAATTTTCTGACATCAGGAAAAAAAAAAAAGATACCAATGAAATAGCTGAGATACCTGTCGTCTATCAAGCTGATATTTATCAGGAAACCGACAGTACAAAACAACGCAAAAGAAAAGCCTAAAACCAGAAACATTTTCAACGTGGGACAATAAAACACATTCCAGAGAGCTCAAGATCTGAGAAAAATGGTGACGCTAAATATACACAGAACGCAGCGGAATGCAAAACAAACCACCACAAGAATGAGTATACGTTTTTTTCCTCTCAAGATTTCACTTGTAGCTACGAGCTCTGGGACCAGTTTAATCTCCTGGGTGGCTGCGTTCCCTCGTGCCTGGCAGAGGAGGTGCACACAGGACTGCTTCGATAAGCGGCCACCTGGGTCAGACGCCAAGTACTGGAGCGAGGGGACTTATCTTGATTGAGCAACTCAAGAAATAATAAGGTTTTTTAAAAAGGAACTTGTCATATACGGCTGAACATAGCTGAAAGGGACAAGCTCTAACGAACTGATGAATTCCAGACGCTCTCTCACGTGACGATCTCGCACGCAGCACATCCAGCTGGCGCGACGCTCGTGACAGTTTAACTCAGCTGTGGGTAAGAAGCAGAACTCGTGCTCGGCCCCCGGCTGAGAGCAGGAACTGGGCACTTACCTTGAGCGTGAAGAGGCTGATGCGCCCGGGCAGTTTGTAAAAGAGTCCGTCGCCTCCCCGTGAGTTGGAATGGAGCATGGCGTTGAGGCAGGCGAGGGGAGAAGTGCCACTGTGACAGAGAAAGAAAGAAAACAGCAAGCGTTAAGACATGGCCTTAGCAACATGTGTTTAAGTGGGCATTATGTAGCCGAGCGAGGGCAGAGATGATGCTCATTAACTTTACGGGGTGGGCACTTCAGCCACAACAGCACTACCCTTGTCCTTTTTGACCTGCACAACGCGCCACAGCAAAGCAATCGGCAGGAGCCAGGAAACGTTCCACCAATTTTAAAGTTACTCTCAGCCATTTTTAGATGTTCCTAACTTTTAGTACCAGCTTCCTCCCTTTCTCTGCCTGGAACTTTGAGAGTTGGACTGATTTTACAGAAAAACCCCAGACTTACTCAGCAGTAGAAAGATGTAAACAAAACCAGCATAAATTGTACACAGGCTTTTCTGGAATGTCTCCCCTGACACGCCGCAGACAGACCCGCGCTAGCGGAGTTACACCAGGAGGTCTGCTGCACCGATCTGTCAAGTCCTACGTAACTCCCTGGTTAACGCAACTGTCCCACGCTCACACCGACGGGACTTCTGTGCCACGTAATTTCATGTTTTCCACTAAGTCACACACGTACAGGCAGAAAGTTACCTGGAAGCGACCTTAAAGCAGTAGCGATTTCCTTACTACTAAAAGTGAAACTGAAAACCGGACCGAGACAAAACATTTCAAAGAAAATCATGCTCAACTCGAAAGCATAGAATAATTTCTGTTTCCACTCTGAACGCGTTCGGTTTTTTGGACATTTCTTCACAAGCCCTGGCAACTGACAAAATTACCCTGCATCACTTTTAGATACTATGAAAAAAATTCCAGCCTTCTGTCCTGTTAGACAGTGTTTTCCCTTCTGTGTTCAACAGATGCCTCAAGCCCGTTACCCAGCCTCAGAGCACGCTTCCTCAGAACAGAGAAATAAATAGTTTTCCCCAAACTGAGAAAAAAAGCAAACAATTAACTCTCCTAGGAGCTAGAACTCAGCAATGGTGCTGGGCCCAAGCGTCCTGGCTCAAGCACCAGTGGGACCAGTAAGGAACAGGGCCCTCCCAGCAGACAGTGTGACCCCCAGCCCAGGGAGCGCCGGCTCAGGATCGGCTCAAAGGGAAAAACCTTTCGAGCCACCGAGCTATTTCCTTCAGGAAATGGAGTTTCAGGAAGGGCTTCTATACAAGCAGCATATTTAGCTCAGCAGGATCACTGCCTTTATTCTGTGAACAATCACGCTCCGAGGAAAACAGTCCTTTCTTAAAGCAGAGAATTAACGACCAGGGAAGGAAAACGCAGATATCCCAAGGGAAAACCACCGACCTTTAAAGGAACAAGTCAGCGCTGTGGGATTTAACTTGACACACGCTCCAAAGCCTGGGCTTCAGTTACGCACCGTGACAGGTCGCTCGTCAAAACTGGGAGAGCACCAAGATAATTTGTGTGTGTGAGAAGAGACCTGCTATTCCCTTTAGCAGAGACACGCAGACCTTCAGCTACCTGCTTACGTAACAGGACTGACGCAAGAAAGGTGCAGAGTATTGATTAGAGCGAAGCTGCACGAAGGTCCTCATTAAAAGCCCGCTGAATTCTGCTCAGAGCTGTGAAACCCCCACCCATAGCTGGGCCAGAGAAGGTCCCCTGGGCCAGGCCCGCCAGTGGCAGGTGGGTTCCAACAGCCCCGACACCGATGCAGCCACACACGCCGGCATCGTCCCTCTCTGAACTATGGCAACTCCTACGCAAGGCACCTCTGTACACATCGCCAGTCTTTGCTACTCAAACCATCCCAGCTGCTTCCTGATTTCAGGCACAAATAAGGAGCAGAAAGCAGCTAAAATCTCAAGTTGTTTGGTCCTGGAAGAAATCGGTTTACCTCTGTAGCTGGGTAAGGTACAGGTTCAGGAAACACCAACAGCACCGTGGAAAACAGCCCCGAATCGAGGAGGGGGGAAGCAAGATGAGAAACAGTCCGCGCATCTGGATTCCCCAGAAGTCAGTCAACGGGCAGCAGCCGAAAGACACCGATTTTTCTGCCTCTGGTAGCCCAACTTCCTTTTTTTGCCACGCAGCACTGAGGCATCTGGACTATCACGGTTACCTGCTTGGCTTTGATCTGACAGACACTCTGTATTTCTCTTCTACTACTGTCACAGAAACAGATGGAAGTTCACAGGAACTTAACCAAGGAGAACAGTCTCCCACTCCTGTCATTTCCGAGGCTCCTATCAGGTTCTTTCCCACATGAAACCCCCGCTGAGGGGGAAATCTCCCCCGTACAACGTCAAGAACCACAACGGTGTGAGCTGCGCTAGCGCGGTGCTCGAAAATCCGAGCAGAAGCCAGTATAGTAATATAAAGAAGGCTTTTCTGAGTCTCCTAAAACATCACGTCTGCTCTAGAAATGAAGCATCAGAGGGGACAAAACTTAAAACTGTTCTCAAACTAGAGTCACAACAGCAGAGACTACTGGGAGCTACTTACGAGAGAACCATACAAGTGGTAAGGACAACACATGCAGGAGTCTGACCTGCAATAGGCATTTATTTTACACTAGATGGATGAAGGGGACTCTGTATGTTATTAAAAAAATCCAAGAACGGCTTCCAGTTATTGTCAAAGAAAAAAACCTACAACCTGTATATAAATGTCTGTACTGTCACCTGAAATTACCATGCTTGAAAGAGAAAAAAGGAAGAAGATAAGTGGGCTGGAGATGAGGCAGAACCGCACAAAGGAACACAAGCCTTCACACGCAGCCTCCCCCATGCTCCACACTAGGTTTTAGACAAGATCATCAATACTAACCTCATTTCCTTTAGTCCTTCAGCCTCTATGACCTGCAGAATCTGTTTTGGGGTCATGGGAGCATCAGAGTAATTTTCCAGCACCTGAAAAGACAGAAAGACCACGTGTCATTACAGAATTTGCTTGTGCATTCACAGAACTACTCCATAAGCTGCGGTTCAGATCCAACAATGTGCCTCTTACAATTTTTATTCATCTGATAAAGATACATGCTAAAAATCTCAGGCTACCTCAAGATTAGATCATGGTAAGCACCACAAAAGGCTTACTTTAACCTGGTCCCTAATTAACTGAAATACAAAGATGAAGGAGAGAAAAAGCAGCAGAATTTGGCCTTGACCCCACAGCATGAAACCAGTGGAAGCTTTACCACAGACTCTAATGTACGTTAGACCAAGCTGCTGCCACAAACAACCTTCAAAAGTGTACAGAGGTGAGTGACCTTCGATGGCGTAAAGCGTTCTCCCTGCCATACACCTTCCTGCCTCTCATAAAGCAGCCAGCATTTTTCTGCCAATAAAGGTATTACTGTACAACTGTATAATTCAATAGCGTACCTGCCTTGGATTACTGCATTCATTTCATCTTCGCTCCATCTCAAGAAGGGTACCACGGGCAAGACTCAGAATTCTTGTCAGAGAAGGACAGAATTCAGAAAAGGACAACAATAACAGCAAAGGATGCGGAAAAAAAATGATGGCTAGAGACACTAGAAAGAGTTGGGCTGTTTGCCTTTGAAAGAAAATGAGTAAAAGCAGATATTAAGGAGGCAATACAATAAATAACAACTCATCCTTTCATATACTGTATGGAGAACAGAACTGCCACTTACATGCGAAGAACTAAAGAGGTTATTACAATTTTTTTTAAGCCCGTGGAACTTACTGCTCCAAAATGTCTAGAAGCAAGAACTCAAGGATTCCAAAAGAGGACTGGACATTTCTGTGGGTAAGATTACCCATGCAAACAGGAAACGATGAACAAAGCTAAGCTGCAGTAGATGTTCACCACGATGTGTCTTTGGGGCGGGAGCACCCTGCAGCCCCTCCGCGGCAGCACCAGCGCTGCTCCAAGGAGCCCGACGGGCCTCTGGGTCCCGTCGGGCGAGAGACTGTGGGGCAGGCGCAGGACGTGGCCCGAAACCTTCGAGAAGAGCAGCAACAGGTATTCACTTGGGAATTTTTTGATCCTAACTGTGGTCTGAATTCCCCTAACGTCACGGCCACAACGATGCGCGACCCCGATCTCATTCGCCGGCCCGCGGCCGCCTTTCCGTCTGACTTGTGTGCAAAGGCCGTGGAGGAACCCCAACGCCCCGCTGCCGTCAGCCGCATCTAGAACTGAGCCTCTGCAGCACCGTGGCACGGCGCAGACCCACCCTCCGCCTTCTGGAGTCGCGTGGACAGGACGTTTTAAAAATTAAAAATGTTGCGCAGGGCACCATTCGCATCTCTGTACCACCTCCAACCTTGGCCAGTAAAGGGAAAACCCAACCCATCCCACTGTAGTTCTGCACTTCAACTGTATTTTGTGATAAAAAGAATTTCTGAAATCATATCCATCTCTTTTTCAGATGCCTGAAGATCAGAAGCATCAGTGGTGCTAACCTGGTAGGAGACGGAAATTTGAGAACTACGTAACCTGAGACAAAACACAAAGAAAAACACAAAGAGATTAAAGAAAGGATCAAAGAAAGTGATAAGCCATATTCAGAGAGAGTAAACAATTTTAATTCTGAGTCAATACAGCTCCATCACACTTTTTTCTCCGCTAATCAAAAACCCTCCCTAGGTTACGACGTTTCCGTGCCTTCCTCGTGCACTGTCACCCCCCGTCACTCAGAGGGAGCAGAGAGCTGACAAGGGGAAACACATCACTCCCGAGCTGAGCGCGAGAGCCACAAAATGGAACATGCCTGTTCTGAAAAATAAGTAAATTCTTCACAGCTTATAAAACCTCTCTCAAGTGACAGACAAAGCAAGCAAACTACACAGCCTAAAAACTGAGCATGAACAAGCATTTACATAAAGATAAAAGAATCTACGCTCAGGGGAACAATTTCCAATCAGCAGCTATATTAAGTGTACAGACTGCTTAATGGAAGAACTGGGGGAGAGAAGATGCTGCAGCTTCAGCCACCAGAGCCCCGTCTCCAGCACCGGCCCCGCACCCCTCTCCACCCTGACCCTGCCAGCGCCCCAACCTTCCATCAGGAGCAAAACTGAAAAAGAAGAAAAGTCTTCCCCTCCACTATTTATAATACTGATTAGTGAAGGATCCCTATGCCCCTAATGATGGAGGTTTACATCACTCCCCCAATTAATTTACTAGACATCTATCTCTGACAGCACTTGTTGAATAGTCCTGCGGCTCTGGGTGTTCAAACGAACCTTTAACGGCTTATTTTATGGAACATGTACGGTATCAGCTCTGTAGGAGCAGCACCGCTGAAAAGCACCTTTGCCTCCGATTCTCAGAGAGGAATACAAAATACAATAGCGTGCATCAAAAAGGAAAATTAAAAGCATTTTGACAGGGTGCATGTGTAAGACTAGTGTTAAATAAAGATCTATTTTTAGTGGATTTACAATCAGTCCTGCAAGCTGGAAGCGCAGCTACGCAACCGCAGGTCTCTAAGTGGATAATCTAGTAGGAGATGGTTCTATTTCTGGTTCATCAATGGCTCTAAGATGCTGTGGAGGCTTAGACACCTCCTGCACCCGCTGGGCCCGAGGTTCTGGCCAAAAGACAGGCGAGAGGAACTGTGCAAAGAGACCCCCCCTTCCCATCACGTGAGGGTGAGGAGGTGGATCAAGAGACTGCTTCAGAGTCACTGTCTCAGGTGCTGCTGCGGGCAGCCTATAAATACCGATTTTTTTTTTTTTTCCCACCTGTTAGAGCTCAGGCCATTTGAACGAGGTGACTTTGTGAAGGTCACCTAGCACTGCCTCTGCCCCGAGGTCAGGGAAGCGTCCCTGGCACCTCAAAGAGAAACGCACGAGGAAGCGCCGGCCCACCCGGCCCCTGCAGCGAGGTCCCACAGCGGCTGGTTTATGCCCTTCTCCAGTTGGTGAAGCGCAGTCATGCGGGTCTGAAGTATTATAATTTACACACAAAAGATTATGCAAGTTGCTGGAAGATAGATGCTTGTCTGATTAGGTTTCCTCCTGGCAAGCAGTAAGAAAACACTCTGATAGCCAAAGAAATCTTACTCAGAAGGAGCACCAAGACCTTTCCTGAACATCCTCAATACCAGACACAAGTCTCAGCTGGACTCACCCCCACTGTTCCTCCTGAATGTTTATGTGCTCCAATGCATAACCTGGCCAGGCAAAAACTACATAAACACACACACCAAAGGAAAAACACGGAAACAAAACACCCTCAAGCCCTGAAAAATCCATCCCTACAGACGTCCGTGCTCTACGCAGCGAGTACAACCGTCTCCTCACGAGTCGAGGGCGACGGGGCCACGGGGAGGCAAGCCCAGGGATGCGCCCAGGGCTGTCGGGTCATCCCGTACTCCAGGCAGCGGCACTCCTGTACCTGTGTCACCGCGTCACCGGGAGCGAGCAGCTCCTGGGCAGGGGCCAAGGAGACCGAGCTCCCTCCAGGCAGCGCAGCAGCGGTGGCCGCCGCATGCTGAGCCGAGCAACAACCCTAAACCCCTCCAACCCTCCTTAACCAAAGCTGCTGACTTGTTCACGCTCACTGCCTCAAAGGGGCTGGAGTTCAGGTTTCTTTTCATATTGCCTAGTTTGTAAATGGGCATCGAGACAGAAACGGCTTCACGGAGGGAAATCACCCTTCTCCCATCGCGGGGGTCAAACGACAGCGGCGTCCCCCCGGGCCTACGCAAACGCCATCGGAGCAGACCTGCGTTTGGGAGTTTAAAGCCTTCAACAAGCAGATTCTCCAAGACAAAAAACCTAAAGCCATACCCGTAGCTACGTCTCCTAAAACCCCACGTGAGGCCGTCCCGTCCGCCCGCGGCGGCGCCGGCCCCGGGGCTCAGCACCGCCGCTCACACCGCCCGCGCTGGTTACATTTTACCGCTTATTAATAATTTAGTTCACCCAGAGGCATTTTTTTTTATTTTTTTTTTCTTGAAGAAAAATAAAAGGTGCCGTCAAACATGAAGTTGTTAAACACTGCCGTTACTTACAAATCAAGAATGAAAATCAGGCACGTTTTGATAGATGCAATAAATCTCATTGACTTTATTACACGTCGTATTTTAGGATCACTTTACATTCCTAGACAAAAGAAATGATACAAATAAATATAAGCTGTAAAACTATGGACAGAACTATTGACAGGTTCTTTGTCTACAGATCACCTAGGAGAAGGTGGAGATGGGTGAACCTCCAGGGGAGCTGCGAGTTCTCCCGCGGTCGCAGTGCCTGCAGGGAGCGCCTGGGCGCTTTGCCTCAAAACCAGAGGGGCCTGAAGGGGGTAGGAAGTGCCTGGACCCCAGAGAGCTTAAACTCCCCCTGCATGGTGCAGCGCAGACAGGACCAGCGTTATTTCATTTCCATCTCCGCATCCGATTATGGCTTTGGCAGGTTAACTTTTCCAATTCGTGTTTTAATGCAGCGGAAACAGACACACGGGAGCGGTAACAGCCTGGCACGTGTTAACCAGATCCCAGTTTGCAGGACAGATCCCAGTTTGCAGGTGTCGCGCCGGCACCTGGCAAGCACCCTGTTGAGGGAAGGCAGGCTTACACCACCCACGAGGACACTCGACACGAGTCTGATCTCTATAATGCATCAGTGTGGCCCGAGATGCTGTGACAGAGGGGGGATGGGGTTTAGAAGATTCAAGCAGCATGCAAATAATTTTAAAAAGGCGCCAGACCTATGTTAAGGATTTTCAGAAAGTGCTTTAATTCCTCTGCCCCAGGGGTGTCAGGCAGTGCTTGCTCCCAGAGCCAAGGGCCGACTTCTGCTCCACGTCATTTTTTTTAAAAAAAGATGCCATTATACAGATCAGAGCAGAGATGAGAAGGATGTTAAACATTGCCACGAAGAAACTACGAGGGCGCGCGCTGTCCGAGGGCCTCTTCAGGAGCCGGCTGGATTTCCTTTGGCCATTCACCTGCAGGAAGCCCAGATGGTTCAGGTAACACCAGAGAGGGGCAAACTCGGCAGGAATGTTTCTTAAAAATTTCAACCCAGAGCTCAGTACGTTTTGTACAGCTTAAGACAATGTATTTTATCTTAATATCAGTGCCACTGAGTATCTGGTCGAGGGTAAGTCCATTGGAATGAGACTCCAACAGTAACAATCCGCGATTGCTCCTCAACGCACTAACCAAATCTCCAACCACAGCTCCAATTTAAATACAATGACTAAATATGCAGTTTTATTCTTTTTCCACCCTACCGAATTTCTTTCACCTTGCTAATGAATTTCTACAGAATTAAAAGCAGAGCCTTTCTGACATATTAACCAGCTAGCTTATCAACACTAAGACGAGAACAGTCGGGGTTTGTGTGGCCATTTCCACTGTACCAGTCCTGCCACAGGGGGAAGTTTCCAGCACACGAGTTTAACAGAGAATTCCCTACGGAACAGCAGCGGCCAGGGAAGAGTGTGCGTATGTGCAGACACAGAGGGGTCTGTGTATGCCTTATTCACAGAAAACATACGTGTAACGTAGGTATGTACACAGACGTGGTTACGTATCTTGTTGCTATTTCAGATTTTAGACCCCCTCCCCTTGTTTCATTTCAGTTCTCTGAGCACTTACACCACACAATCATCTTTTAAAATGTCCAAATACAGAAGATTATGTGCTAGAGAGAAAGAGGAAGGAGAGGGAAGAGAAGGTGACGTTAGAATATGCAACAAGAGCCAATTAAAAGGCTCCCTGTACAAAAACAGTGCTTTGTAAAAAGGAAGATGATGCCAGGTTTCCATGTTCAGGTTGGAAGGAAGTTGTCAGATGCCTGCTTTCTCAATTACAAGCGAACTCCTCTTTCCTCCACCAAAACTAATACATATATATGTATATATGCATGTATGTGTGTATATATATATTACTCTTGTGGTCCAGAGGAGCACTCCACGGATCCAAGCAGCCGAGCTGGCGTTTCAGCGGGCCCAGGGGGCAGGCGGCTCACCGGGGCACCGTGCCCGCAGGATGCCGGGGTGAGCTGCGCGTGGGGGCTGAAGAGGACGGAGCTCTGGGGCCTGGGTGAGGTCACTCAGCGGACACTTCACAGGGCAGAGTCCACACCTCAGAGCATTTCTAAAACCAGGCAAGTCCTCAGACACTCACACATGTCAGTCTGGAGGAAGTCGTCAGTGAGGGAGAGGAAATAGGTAAAAACATTCACAGGATGACAGCCAACGGCAACCAGAAAAAGTAACATCCCACGTCTCGATATACAGTGAACTAAAACTTACGATTGGGCTGTGAGACACTAGACAGGGACACCTTACTCTGTCCTTAGCGTGGCAGTTCCACCTCCCCCTGCCCTGCCACGGGAGCCCGCGGCGTTACCGGAGCCTCAGTCCTAGGGCAGCTTTGCAAAGAGACCGTCAAAAAGCAGGAGTTCTTCCTCCCTTGTTTTCAAAATAAAACCCCTGGAATTACCAACCAGTTCCGTTACCCAGGCTCGGTTCCATGTGCTTCCACTCCCAGCGGGCTCTGCGGGGGCTGGGAAAACCGCCAGCGTAGGTACGGAACGCTGAACCTCCTCAGACACCACGGGAAGGGACGGAAGCGCGCGCCCCCGGCAGCCCCGGGGCAGCCTGCCAGGAGCCGGCGTCTCCCGGGAGCAGCGGGAGACGGGAGGAAACGGCCGTCCAGCACCCCGCAGCAAAGGGCTTCCGACGGCCGCTGCTGCCAAAGGCCAGAGGCGGAGGCAGGAGGGAGGCAGCAAGCTGCGGAGCTGGCGTGGGGGCACGGGCCGGATCCTTGAGAAGGTGGTTCCCGGTGGTGGGGGTGAGGTCTGCAGGAGGTCAGGTTAGAGGAGCTCTTACTTAGGCCTGTAAACAAGGAAGGGACTTCAGTTCCTACACCTCCTCCTTTCTCGGGAGCGCAGAGTTGCTTTCGAGGCCCCTTTTCTGTCCTCCCGCTGCAAAGGGAGCCCAGCTCCCGGGCGGTGGGGCCATGCTGCCGTCCTGCCCGGTCACACCAGCTGCCTGACCCCAAACGATGCCGCCGGTTTCTCAAGCAGGAAGAGGAAAAACTATGCACCTAGTCAAGTTTGGACAGATCCTCTGCTTTTTCCCCTCATTTGGTCCTCACTATGGAGCTCTGGAGCGGTGGTTCTGTTGAGATGACTTTCAACTCTGTCTTTTTATTGCCCAACAGCAAAAAAAAGCTCAGTGCAGCAGAAGGGCGAGTGCAGAAAGAGAGGCGGTGGTGCTGTGAGGTGATCCCCATGCTTCCCATTGCTTCTAACACACTTGAACGTACCTCATGCATTTCTGATTCCCTAACTAAAATCTGTTTCCCACAGAGGCCAAATGCTGAATCGCAAGCACGTTATCTTCCCGTGGCTCAGTGCACCTGGACTGGCACAAGTCAGTTAAAGAGCAAAGAGGCCATCTCCAGGGGAGAGGGGCTGGAGGCTGGCCGGGAGCTCTCTGCAGGTTTCTACTTGTCTCTGCTCTCAGAAGGCAAAGGCTGTTGGCGCTCTGGAGAGGATCTGCTGGTTTTACTTTGGAACCAGCCCTCGGGACTGTGGGTAGAGCTGAGAACTATGGGTGCCTGCTGATGAGGGTCCCCCTGATTTTCTTCCAGTTTTGGGCCTGAAGAAGTAAAAACGAAAAAATAAACAAAAAGCCCCAGCAATGTTGCCTGTTACTCATCAAAATTAATCTTCCAAAAGCTCTTTTTTTTTAACTGGCTTTACTCTCTAACTACTCTCAGCTTTTTCTTCTGTCCTGTGTTCCTTTCTCTGCTTTACAGCCAAGCTCACCTTAACTTCACTGACAAGAAGTGCCGGCAGACAGCGGCTGTACTCGCACCTCTGCTGTCGGCTTCTCTGCCGCCTGAAAGTCCAACTCACCTGGGTTTTGATTTTTTATTTGCAGTGCTCTCGAAGGTTGAAGCGTCCACCTGTATCTCATCCTCATCCTGCAGAGCCGCTTCTAGAGCCGCCTGAACTTTGGGAGCAATGGCTGGACCTTCGTAGTCTCTCGTCGTCCGGCTGGGCATGTCAAGCTCCAGTAACACGATGTTCTCTGCCTGAGACAGCAAAAGCAGAAGCAATGTCTGCACGTTTTCATACAAATTGTTTCTTTTCCCTCCAGAAGCTTATTCTGAATTACGTTATAAACGTACGCAGGACACTGTAAAAATGAACGTCCCACAGAAGAACTATCAATGCTCTCAAGGTTGCGTTGCCCGGATCAGGAGGGGAACACCTGAGGGCTGTAACCAACCGTCTCTGGGCTTACCCTGTACCGGGCCTCTGGACGAATCATCATGGACGTCCTGGCGTGTTGGCTCAGCGGCCTTTTGTATCCCACAGCAGAGACCGGCCTCTTCATCATCTGCTGGTTACTAGAGGCAAATAGATACTCAGTCTATTATAAACCAAACCCAAAGACTCCTCTCAGAGTTTATGAGCGAAAACATCTGCAAATTCCACATAGAAATATGTTTCAAGAGAGCAGAAACCACCGAGGCTGCGTCTGCAGGAAGAGCCTTCCTCAGTCAGAGACGAGGGAGGACACTTACCCCACCTGCCCCCTGCTCGGAGCGGAGGATTTCTACGTGTTTTCACTACACGGACTGCAGCTGCGCTCAGCTGCAGCCAGCTTCCTAAATCTGCTGTGGAGATCCTAATGTGCAGAGAGGCAGATCTGGCCACAGCTCAAATAATAACAACAACAATAATTATTTTGAGGGCTTTACTATCTGAAAAAAATGATGGGAATTTACTACTATTTTAATTATATTGCATACCATTTAGTTATAATTATTGGGGTCATCAAGAAGAAAAATCCTTATCTTCCCAGAACTCTCCTAACTGCATATTCTGATTTGATTCAACCTACTAAAGAGAAATAACTTTTTTTTATTATGATTATTGTGCAGCAAAAAGCTACAAACTCCAGAAGGCCAGTCGAAATGCCCAATTCAATCTCTCTTTTGGGGTTCCTTGTTCCTGACAGCCAGAGGAACTTTTTTCCGTGACTTACAATTCCATCTCAAGGAAAGATGAGAAGTACACTCACTCCAGACGGGTTATGGGATGCAGCTTCCACTGGTCTTCCTCTTCATCAAAGAATGATCTGTTCATGATCTTATTCTTTTCTTCCAAAGGAATAAAATTTTCAATAATCAGGTGCCTACATGCAACCGCAAAAATGAGAAACACACAAGAAATGTAAGTAGCGGATGACTTTCTCCTCTCCCACTGACTTCATACAGCCCTGGAAAAGGAGGAACATTTGAGTTTTTTCATGTTTAGATCTCGTTCCACAAGCACGTGCAATGCAGTCCCTCCACTCCCCACCCAAAGCAGCCATCTCTGTTACATTAACAGCAGGCAGCGAGCTGAGGGCACTCACTTTAGCTTGAGCTCCCTGGTAAGTTCATTCTGGGTCTGCTCCAGTTCCTGGCGCTCCTTGATGTGCTCTTCCTGGAGATCATGGATCTCTGCCTTCACGGCTTGCAGCTTGGAAAATAACTGGAGCAGACCACAAGAGCCAAAGTCATAACTTGCCAATGTTCCCTGCACTTCCATACACAAGTCGATTCTATTCCTAGACATGGAATCATTTTCTTTTTACCTTTTTGAGCTTTTTGGTCTTTATGTCCACCTCTTGCTGAAGAGAGCTGTAGGTCTCCTTCAGCTCTAGTGTCTCCTCATCCCGACTTTCCATCTGTTGCTGGATCTCCCGCTCCCGACGTTTCTGAAGAAGGTGATGTACAACATAAAACACCTCAATTACACTGTCACCTCCAGGCTGACGTATGTGAAACCAACACTCAGGATGTTTTTACTTCCCTGGGTTCCAGGGCTCTTGCTTTACCTTCTAGTTCTTCCTATCTCTTGCCTCAGAAATACCAGAAGCATTAACTCTTCTCTGTCCTTATTTTGCTACTAAAACCAGATAGCATGAATAAGTGCTCAAAAGGAATCAAATGTCATGTTTATTTATTTTTTTTTTAATCCATACTAGTCACCACTCTTCCAGAATCACCAACAGAAGATACACAATGGAAAATAAACTTCTATCACACAGTAAACATCCCTCCCTTGAGCTAATGGCTGAACTGTCACTCTCTGAGGTTTTCCAATTATTTCTTCACTTACAGACAGCTCCAATCAAGATAGGACATAAATCTTTAATGTGAAAATTATTATAAATCTTCTTTATGTATTTCCTACAGTGACAAATAGCACACAAGCTCTTCCCCCGTCTTTTGAGATTAATGGTTGCCATTAAACCAATTTTAGGTTTAACCCTGGGCAAATCTTCCTACAGTTTCTCCTGCCACAATGTTTTACAAAAGTTGTGCAGCTAGGCTTTTTATGGAAAATAGCAAAGGTTCTTCCTCGTACCTGTTCTGCAATTTCCTGTCGTTTCTGCTCCAGGATCTTCTGCTGTTCGTTTGTGTGATCCACAATATTTTTCCCTCCCACCAGAAGCTTGCTTTCCATTGCCTGAAAGGGAAAACCAAGGTCAAGTTTCTCTCAGTGAGAACAGACTGTAACTTTCCTCTCATACGGACACAGCTTTTTCGGGGCAGCTCCCTTATTTAACCTTCTCTTTCAAGTCAGCTGCTACAAGAACTACTATTTCTTAAAATTCCAATGAAGCTGGGGGAATAATGTTTAGAATTCCGCGTTGCCGTAATGTGTGGCAAAGCTGAAGAACCGCGACATGTGCTCTCCTGTAAAAAACTTGTTAATGATCTGTGACAGAATGAAGCACTTCTTTGTGCCACAGCTTGTGGAAAGATGTATCATCACATTTTATTGTGCTGATTGCTTAAGATCCTACAAGATCAGCACACAAGAACAATGCAACAGCTCATGAATATTGAAATACGTAATTAATGCTGGAGGTTTCAACTTTTGTCTAGAAATAGTTTATTTCAAAAAATCTTCCCATCTAAACACAAATCACTATCCTGGAAACTTCCCGTGATAAAACCTTCCAAACTGGGAAACCCTCTTTTCTCCCCACAGCCTGAATAAGTTGCTTTCAAAAAGCACGACAAGGAAGAATTCTACCTTGATTTTAGCACTCAGCATTTCTGTTGCTTCCTTCTCTCGCCTCAGGTCCTCCATTTTCTTCTCCTTCTCTTTCAGCAGTCTCATCTTTTCTTCTGCTACCAAGCTGTGATCCTCAACTATAGCTTTCTTCTCAATCTCCAGCTTTTCTTGTTGCTCCCTCCAATAGTCATCTTTGTCATCTCCTTCATCCTCACCCTCTTCAGTGTCCTCCTCCTCTTCCCCACCATCTCTCCTCCTTTCCCTCCTCTTTCTTTTGCCAATAGACCGTTTTTCCAGCTGGGCCTTGAGCCGAGCGATCTCTTCCTGGAATTCTCGTAGCAGAGCATCCTTAGGATCCTCATTCACTCGCGGCTTGTTCTTGATGTTTTTGGCACGATTGGCGTATCTCAGCGTTGTCAGAGTCTCCTCTACGTTGTAAGAGGCAGGGCCTATGTTGGCCACCATCACAGTTTTGGCATTGCCACCTAATGAGTCTTGAAGTAACCTGGTCAGCTTTGAGTCCCGGTACGGAATATGTGTGCTTTTGCCATCTACGAGGGCAGAGATAACGTTGCCCAAAGCCGAAAGAGAGAGATTGATTTTAGTGGCCTCCTTTAACCTTTCCCCCTGCGCTCCAGTCTTGGCTTGTCGCTCGCTGCCCGCAAGGTCCACCAGGTTGAGTTTCCCAACACGGATGTGATTCTCTCCGTCGAGTCCTAACTCGCTGCATTCGATAGTGATCACAAAAATGGCATGAGACCGAGAGCTGTGTTCGTTCATGTTGGTGGCACCAACGGAGCGATTCTGGTTTCCCACGTTCATGACGTGCTCTATCTCTTTGACGCTTTTCGTGACAAAGGAGGACAAATCCTTGACATAGACACCAGTGTCTGGTCTCTCCTTTAACTCCAGCCGCTTGGACTGATCCTTTGATAACAAGTCTCTGATTTCTTCCTGGTAGATTTCCAGATAAGAAGCTCTAACTAGGTATTGCTGATTCTGAGATCTAGAGATGTGGGTGAAGATGTGATCGAAGGAGTTGGGGATGACCCCTCGTTTTTCAGGATCGCCACGCACCCCTTCCATCGTGTATGTTTTCCCTGTCCCAGTCTGCCCATACGCAAAGATTGTCCCGTTAAATCCTTGCAGGACAGAGTCCACGAGAGGCCTGAAGGTCTCATCGTAGAGTTCAACCTGCTTGGAATTCCAGTCATACACAGCATCGAAGGTGAAAGTTTTAGGCAGTTCATGAGATGTTCCCCGCGGATTCTTCACCGAGACCTGCCCTAACTTGACATCCACGTTAACAACTTTTTCATACGAAGCCGTCTTCTCTTTGCTGTTCATCGGCCGGCACCGCACCACCACCCTCACCGACTCAGAGCTCTTTAACTTCGACATGGCAGCGGGCCTGTGGCTGGCGTGATGCGATCGGTGGATGATCCCGTGCTAGAAACCTAGAACAGAAACAAAGGAGCAATATCTGAACGAAGTTTTCTGCAGGTGACAATTTTTCACAGAGCCAAAGATTCAGCTCATCTATTCGAGCAGCATTTTGCATTAAGTTGCGAGGGATTTTGAAGAATAGAAATAACGTACAACATGAAAACTTTAGAAAGGCCTGAACTGAGATGGTGTTATCTAACCAAACCCGTCCATCAAATGGTATCATCTCCACAAGCTCTGCTGCAAAAAATCCTCATCAAACCACAGTTGGCAGAGATCCTTTTCCTGACCCTTAAAAATAACAATAATGCTTTTTAAACGATGAAAAGCGTATAACACTTTGCCCTCGATTCCCTTTGCAGTCAGGCTTTTTGTTTTAAATCTCACACTTTGAAAATCCAGCACGAGCTTGTTCTCTCCGTATTGCTCAGGCTTCTGAAAAGGAATCTCTTAGGCGATTGGAATAAGAGCTTCACCCACCTACCGAAATTCAAGAGATTGTAAATTCTCAGTACCGTATTTTCTGTTGCCTCTTCTTACACCTCCCATGCATTGATGAAAACTTCTCATATTTTTGAGACATTTATATTAGAATCCCCTCACGCATGATGTGTCATCAGGATCGTCCTGCCACTGGAGGTTTAAAACCTATGTCAGAACGTCTTTCTGCTCCGCTTCCAAACTGCCCACTCCACGCTGACCTCTGCATTTGTATTTCTGCCCAAGTATCACCAGCACACCTAAACCAGAGAGCAGCACTCCCCAGGCGCCTTGGGCAGGGAGGGGAAGACAAGTGACAGAGTAATCCACCTTACGCCTCGCCTGATGCTCAAGCAGCCACAGGACATCAGGGTGTGCCAGGATTTGCCCTTCCCAGGCTTCTGAAGGTTGAGTTTAAGCTCCTTCCATATCCCTCCTTATAAAAATATCATAAAGCACTCAGTCCTTCGAGCCCACCCTCCTCTGTCTCTAACACAACTGCCCTCTGCGAAAGGATCCTGCCAGCGGACAGGAGCATCCTCCTCAGCTGGAACTCGCGCTTCTGTTTTTACTGCAGGCACTTGTACTTGCTTTAGATATTCCAAGCACACCTGGTCACACAGATCTATGCTATTATTTTTTTTCTTTTGGCAATACACTTTTACCAGGAGTTCCCATAAAAGCCAGCTCTGCCCAAGCACACTAACCTGCTGAAACACACCCCATGCTCCTGCTCTGGTGCTCCAACTGAACCAGGTTTACAAGACTCAGAATCAGTCTAAACTCATAAACCCAGTCCGCAGACGCGAGTCCTTCATGACTGGGTAGGGAGGGGGCAACTCTCTGTTGCATCCCCGTTAGCACAATGAGCTGCCATTTAAAACAAAAAAGACTGTGCTGCTGCTAAAGCGACGGCCTTCCATGGGAGATCGAAATGGCACAGCTCGTGGGGTGTTGTGTGATCTCTAACAAGCTTTTTTTTTTTTTTTTTTTTTTTTTTTTTTTTTTCTTCCCCAAAGTATCTTTCAGGAAAAGCTCTGAGATCCTTCTGCCAACTGGAACTAAATGTAAAACTAATGCAGGCTGGGAGCCCCAGGTAGTGCTGGCAGACTTTCAGTCTTGGCCTCCTCAGGACATTCTGGCTGTTCCACTACCAGCTGGATCTGCAGCAACCCACGGATTTTACCTAATTGTTTTTTATTCAGTAATTGGATGTCTCGGGAGAGCTTCTCAAATAAGGGGACAGAGAACCTCAGGAGCGGAGCTAGAGGGCTGAGAAAGGAAGCACAACATTTCTAGGCCAAAATCCTGACTGTCAATCCGCACCACAAAGAATAACAAGTAAAAATAATTAAGAATTGTATGGAAACCTCAATATGGCCTTTGGAATTTCCTTGGTTTTGTGAAGGGAAACTCCTTGCTCCTCACTATTCCTGCGAAAGCACGTGGGGGCTACCAGGAGGAAGATGAGGAACGTGCCTTGAATTGACCAAACTGGACAATCACCCAGAAGCAGCACGTACAGCCTGCACTGTGAATTCAAACTGCTACAGGAATTCTGGATCACTGCTGAATAAAAACGCTTGGAGTTGTCAATTAGGAGGTAAAGACAACCTTACTGTCTGACCCACAGAACATGTATTCCAAATACCAACAGAGGAAGAATATGTGAAACGGGGACAAGTCTTGCAGAATCACAAGCAGCAGCTCTCGCTCTGCTCATCGTGAGTAGATATACAAACACACGGTTCTCCTTCCATACCCACCACAGCGATTCCTATAGTTCAAGTTCACAAAAAGCCAACTTTTTTTTTTGGACAAGCTCAGGTAAACTGCTACTTCATTTATCTGCAGTAACCATGAATGCTGACATTGACAAATACTTAAATGAGGCATGAAGTCTGAAAAGCAAAGACCTGACTTTATATAATTAATATCCAAAATACTGTTTTGATGAGTAGTACCACTTTTGTAAGCAATTGTGACTAGGAGTAAATGACCAGAATTAAGTTAATCTTCACATAGATTTATTTATTTCTTTTAAACAAGAGTATACATCGCCATCCACACGCTCACCGGGAAGTCAGAAGTGAAACACCCAGCGTGTCCCCTGCGGCAGCTTTGGCAGAGGCACACACTGAACAGAATTTTTGCATATTTGCTGTTCCTCTGGGTGTATCTCATCAACGTGAGCTTGATAATCTTTTCACACCTTTCCCCATTTCACTTACAAGTCTCTTTTTATAGTCACAAGTAACTTCTGTTACCCCTGATTTGGGCTATTTCATAACAAACTATCATGAATCATCTCCGATTATTTTAGCTACTGCTGTGAAGTTTACTGAAAGCATCAAAAGTGACGTTTCTTCTCAGACTTACCCCAGTGCGTAACTGAAAAATAAAACCAATGAGTTGGCAGCGTTCTCATTCCCTAGGAACCTCACAGCAATGGCTGAGCTGCCCGGAGCAGGGCAGGGATGGCCACAAGAGCTGGGAAGGCCACTGGCCACTGCTCGGGGCGGGCTCGTTCATGCAATTAGTTCAGCCTAAAGCGACTGGGCCAGACCCCTAAGGATCAAGGCCAAGGTTGAGACAAACACACTTGAAAGCGTGCTCTAGATGAACCAAGAGGGGAGGGCGGGCAGAAATCTGAGCATTTGTGTTTATTTTGGGCAACGCAAGGTTGTAACTGAAAAAACGAGCGAGGCCACAACCTCGGTAAACACCCGGGCGTTGGGGCCTGACCTGGCCTGAGTTTAAAGATCTCGGGCAGGTTTGCGTGGTTCACTGCCCAAACCCTTCCCCCCGCCCAGCCCCAGGTACCGCTTAAAAACAAGGCCGTCGCTTTCTGGCAGTTCAAATCTTCCAAATATTTGTGGGTTCCTAACGTCTTGGCTTAACCTCCTGCGTCTCGCTCGTCCCCCGGCCCGCCGACCCTCTCGGTGTTCTCACCGCACCGCGGCCCATCAGGACACCCCCGGGGCCCCCTCAGCCGCGCGCCCCGATTTCACCGATTGCCCGTGGCCACCTCCCCCTGCTTCAGCGCGGCGCCCCCACGGGTGTCCCCCTCCGGTGGGGAACGGCAGCCCCGCCCCAGCCGGGGACCCCGGGATTGTTTCCGGTTACGGGGTTGACCCACGCGACACCCACCGCCCTCGCAGCTGCGACACGGGGCTCGAGGGACAACGGGCCGCGTCCGTGGGGGGGAGCAGGGACGGGGTAGGGTGCGGGGGGG